AAGACTAACGGCTACAACTATTGAAAGTCAAGGGAAAGACGAAGTTAAAATTAGAAGTGAAGGCCCGAGTCAAAGTACAAAGAAAGGTCAAAGTTTGAAATATAAGGAAACAATAAAGTTGAAGTTTAAGAAAAAAAAAAAAAAAAAGCGATTAGTTAATAAAAATTTGTAAAAAGCAGTGTAACACAGAATTTTTTTACTTTTACTTCTCTAACGTAATACAGCTCCAACGAAACTCCTAAAAGTAAGACAAGCTAATTTTCTTAAACACACTAAGCAAAACCAACAAAAAAAAAAAAGGAAAAAGCTCAACAAATGTTCAAACATTAAAATTAACCTCAATAAAACTTAAGTACAACACTAAAGCTTAAATGTCAGTGTGATTGACATATTCCCAAGGATCGACAATTAAACAATAAACTGTAATTAGAGCTGACTACCACAAGCTATAAGGATCTGCAACAAACAAAAAAAAAAAATGGATCCAACTCATTACCATCAACTAAGGCGATATCTACTGGAACAATAGTTACTATCGAAATTGAGTAAACCAGAACAAACAAAGATAGTGTCGAAGTCTAAGTTCTTTAAAGTAAAGGAAAATATACTATACAGAAAAGATAGATGAGAAAAAGACAATTGGTTAAAGGTTGTACAAACATTTGAAATCAAGCCTATACTGTTCCTAGCACATAACCACCCCACTGGAGGTCATATGGGCCAAAATGCAATGTTTGGAAAAATAAGAAGGTACTACTTTTGGCCCCAAATGTTTGAAAGTATTAGAGAGTACGTACATATGTGTGATGCATGCCAATGGTGTGGGAAAAATAAGCCCCAAGAACCTCTGCACCCAATCCCAGTGAACTCACCATTTTATCACATTGAAATCGACTTTGTAGGGCCCCTGCTCATTACCCCAAAAGAAAAGAAATATAGTTGTGGCCACCGACTATATATTAAAATGGTCCGAAGCAAGAGCACTCAAAAAAGATAATGCTGTCAAAGTTGCTGAATTCATATATGAAGAAATCCATATACAGGCATGGTTGCCTCCAATATATAGCATCTGATCATAGTACACATTTTAAGAATGAACTAATCACTGCTCTGTTAAACAAATTCCAAATAAAGCACAAGCTGTCGACCTCTACCACTCACAGAGTAATAGCCTTGTTGAAAGATATAACAAAACATTATGCGAATCATTAGCAAAAACAATACACAATATAACAAACTAGGACCAATTTATCTAGCCAATATTATTCTTATATCGAACGACAAAACAGAACTCAACAAAAATAACACCATTCTATTTAGTATATAGAAGAGAGGCTCATTTGCTCTAATATCCGGTAATACTTCTAATATTTTAAATAGCACCATTATTTAGAGAACATTTAATTTATTAAATAAGGTCCCAGACCAATGGAACAAGGCAGTGAAACAAATACAATCGACGCAAGTAAAACAAAAAGAACAACATGATCGATGCATAAAGATTATACCAAACTTTCAAATAGGCGATAAGGTTTTACTGTTTAATGCTGCTCACCAAATGTCTTGTAGCCACAAACTAAACCAAAAATAAAAAGACCTCTTTTTTGTGCATAGTGTCTTGATAAACGGATCCTATAAATTACAAACATTAGAGGATAAAGTTTTAAAGTCTCCCATCAATAAAGCACAACTAAAAGGGTATCTGGAAGCCCGACAAAAGAACTAATCCAAGGAAACAAAGGTAAAAAGGGAGGTGTTGAATAAGGAGGAGAGAGAAGAAAGAAGCACAAAAATCAAAAGCAATTAT